CCCTTATTCACAGGCACATTTAGCTAAGTCTTGTACAAATGTTGTTTCCTATTTTATGGTATGATACGGTCTATCTGGTTATTATATAAACCCAGTATGTTTGAAATAAATGTTTTATATCGCAGAGGCTGAGGTTGGTGTTCTGGACATAACTGGTCAGGGTAGGCAGGAAGGAGGACCGATAAGGCCTCTAGATTGCTCGTACTTGTTTTTATGAGTCATTGATCCGGTCGATGAATTACTGTTCTGTAATTGACGGTATCATTACATTATGCACTGATAGGCGCACAGGGCACAAGTTATAACTGAATCGACATACTATTGGTAGGTATCAAAAGCTGGAAAGTGTAACACTCGAAAGTTTTAATTAAAATCACTTACTGTTTTGACGACCTGAGTATAAATAAATTCAACTACATAAGTTAAACGTTTCGGAAACAGAAAAAAAATTGTTTGATATGAAACTTTCTAAATGGTCAATTAAAAAGTTAGATTAATTTTCTTCTATTTTAAATCATTTCCTGTACTATTACGGTTCGTTTCCAAAACTTACTTACTTACCTACTCCTGTTACCCTCATTGAGGAGCATAGGCCCGCTCACCAGCATTCTCCATCCAACTCTGTCCCAAGCAATGCTTTCCAGTTCTTCCCGTTTGTTATTCATCCTTTTCATGTCTGCTTCCAATTCCCGGCACAGTGAGTTGATTGATCTTCCACTTTTTCGTTTCCCTTCAGGATTCCAAATTCGGACTTGCCTCGTGATGCAGTTTGATGATTTCCTCAATGTGTGTCCTATCCAACATCTTTTCCTCATTTTCTCCTTAGCTGGGAGTTCTTTTGTTCTCTCCCATAGTAGGATGTTTCTAATTGTACCTGGTCAACGGAAATTGAGTATCTTACGTAGACAACTGTTTATATATACTTGAGCCATTTTGATGATGGTTGTGGTAGTTGTTTAAGTTTCAGCTTCGTCCAGCAGGACTGTCTTGACGTTCGTATTGAAGATTGTGACATCGATATTGGTTGAAAGTTGTTTTGAGTTCCGTATGTTCTTCAACTGTAGAAATGTTGTCCTCGATTTGCCGATCTTCGCCTTTATGTCTTCACCAGACCTACACGTTCATAGACGATGCTACCCAGGTAAGTGAAAGTTTCCAGCCCTTCCAGAGTTTCTCCATCAAGTATGAATGGGTTAGTGTTCTTTGTGTTTTATTTGAGGATCATGCTTTTTCCTTTATGTTATTTGAGGCCTACTGCTATAAAGGCTGCTGTCACGCTTTTTATCTTGACCTGAAGTTGTTCGCGTGTATAGGATAGAAGAGATAGATCATCTACGAAGTCCGAATCATCTAGTTGCATCCAACCCATCTATTGTATTCCGTTCTTCCCCTCAGATGTCTGGATCTTCATAGTCTAGTCAACCACCACTGAAAGGTTGCATAATAAGTTATAATTTCTTCTACTTAGTCTATTTATTCAGTATGGTGTATAGCTTTCATTATCTTTTAGAAAGATGATTTGATAATCGAAGCATTTGATTTCTAATCACTAGGTTGTGTAGTCAGATAGTAAAACTTACACAAAAAATATGTGTGTGAATTCCAAGTACCAAGTATGCTTCTTAAATGAATGATAAGGTATTTTCATAATTTAATTCCTACATAGCTTCCAATTCTAAGAATTCGATTCCCATTAAGATTTATATTGATTTTCAGTTATCATTCTTGTGTTTATCTATCTATCTATCTATCTATCTATCTATCTATCTATCTATCTATCTATCTTTCTATCTATCTATCTATCTATCTATCTATCTATCTATCTATCTATCTATCTATCTATCTATCTATCTATCTATCTATCTTTCTATCTATCTATCTATCTATCTATCTATCTATCTATCTATCTATCTATCTATCTAACTAGCTAGCTAGCTAGCTATCTACCTATCTATCTATCTATCTATCTATCTATCTATCTATCTATCGGATGAACAACATGAAATGAAAACAAATTATTTACCATAATATGTATATATTAATAAAATCATTGAAAAAACAGTGTAATTTGTGTATTTTTAGTTTCATTTTCAGTGTCATACAATTACATTAAACTATCATACCATAATAGAATTATTATGAAGACTAAAAAAAAAAAGAAAAAAAAGTCTATTACTTAGGAAAATGTCAAGGTTGCATGAATTTTGGCCGCAGTTTTTTTTACTCTTTTCACAATAAAAAAAAAAATTATTGACAGTTTCTTTTTCTTTTCGTTTTCTTTTTTCTCTATAGAAATAGATAAATATCTTAGTTAAGTTGAAAGAATAGACAGAAGAAAAAAAATAGAAAAAAGAAACAAAAACAAAAATAAAATAAAACAAAAAGAATCACTGAAAAATTAAAAAAAAATAATGATTTTTAATTTTTATGTTAAAATGAATATGATTCTATTTTTTCAGTTAACTATTTACTAGAATATTGAATGATGAATGAAGTTCAGTCTGAACTGTTGATTTTACTTATTAATTGATTCGAATGTCTTGATAAAAGGTTTCATTGATTCTAAATATTTTTATTTCATTATTGCTAGAATTATTGATAAATTTATTTAACAGTGATGGTGAAATTTTGTGGAATGGTTGAAGTTAGACATTAACACTATTGGATAAAGCTCTTTTCAGTGGTCTAGAAGTTAAGCGTTCACACGCGAGACTGATAGGTGCTGGGTTGGAATCTCTCAAGGTGGGATCATGGATGTGCACTGCTGAGGAGTTCCACAGTAGGAGGAAATGGCCGTCAAGTGCTTCCAAGGTTTTTCATAGTGGTCTAGCTTCAATTGACTCATGATTTCAACTATTGAAATTATTAAAAATCTACACAAAACCCCCTTCTGAACATAAATGTTTGTTAGGAAGGAAACTGAAAAAAATAATGTAGAAATTTGAAAATTTCTATTTTCCTATTCTGTTTTATCTATTTCATGGTAACATAAACTTAACAGTTGTTTCATTGTACTGTTATATATTCATGTTTATAAGTCTAATATTTTGTTATATCATTACTCAGAAATGACTGAAGCATATGTCATTGGATTTTCTTTTTCTTCATTAATCTTGTCATAGGTTTTATATATTTTTATATCATCATCTGTTGTGGTTTATGTGAGGAAATTGATTATGAATGTATATTATCATTGTCACTATATTGATAAGCTATAATTTAAAGGTATAGACCTGAATTTTTTATTTGTGTATAGTTTAGTTAGTTGGTGGAATAGAATATTGACTATTCATATTGTACCACCCGAATGTCCTAGTATAGCCGACAGTCGGGAGAGTTAACTCTCCCACTTGAAATGCTCTCACATGGCCACGTGCACACAATCATTGATACGGAAGTCTTACCCGCTGCTTTCTCACGGCATTACTATTGTTTACAAAATCGAGGGGACGAAACGCGGGTTGGTGGATATGGAGATTCCTCCTATGGTATTTGGAAAATCTTGATTGAAAACCATTAGTGCACATGGGATCAACGATCCTGAGAGAACAAATGGCGTATGAATCAATTATTACTCATTGTTTATCATGACACTGCATCTCCTGACGTCACTCCACTGCCTTGTAGATCAGACCCTTAGGTCGAAGGCTTGGAGTGTGGCTCTCTAAGAGAACCACCTGTTTTGGTCTGGGCACCCGAGTAGTATCACAGTCCACACATAAATTTAGTGACTTGTGTAGTGCATATCTTTTCGGTGCTCTTTGTACCAATAATTATGTGTCCTAATAAATAAATTCATATTGTAAGTTAATCATAATGTCAATTATACTACTTTCAAGCCTTAAACCATAACAACATTTAAATTCTACTTTTAAAGAATATGGAACTAAATATCTTCATTTAACATATCAAATATGTACCGCATTGAAACTTAATTATTGTCATTTATCCAATTTCTGTTTACATAAAATCATTCTTCAATGTCAACAAAGAGCAATTTATATATTTGAACACGTAAACATTGGTATAAGGGGCACCAAAATATATATGCACCGCATAGTAAAAATGAAATTGTGAAGAGATAGAGAAAAGGTGATTGTAATAAGAAAAAGAAGAAAACCCCGTAGAAGTTAATGCTTGAGAGTAGAACAATAATAATAATAATAATAATAATAGGAAATGCAGTTCAGTTAAAAAATACAACCAAAAAGGATTCTATCGATTGAAGAAGTTACTTTCAACTTTATGGAGAATGTGAAAGAAAGTTATGGTAGGAATGCCATTCACTTCCATTATGAGACATATATGATACCAACTCAAGTCACTGAGTTATACTGTCTTTAGGACTGTAACTAGAAGTTCATGAAGGATGAATAAATGTCATTCTTGCATAGTTTTTTTCATAGCGCGACACCATGTCATACACTGGTCACCTTTCTACATTTTCTAACCAGTCCCAGCATCGGCAAATAATACACAATATGGAGTTCGCTGTACATGTGTAACATCAACCGAATTATCATCTCTGTGTCAGAAAACAAGTTGCCAAAACTGCATATTACTAACGTGGTGTCTCCGTTGAATGTCAGCAATCCTCCGGAGAAAACGAGAACTAAACGCGGATAGTCGCCTAATATCCTCAACTCAGAGATGCCAGGTTTCACAAGCATTGAAAAAACTGTTCTCACTGACGCGTTGTAGATCCTGCCTTTTACAGCCAGAATAACATCATGAGGAGGTCAGAGATGGCCTAGATTAGCATAAACTCGTCTGGCTTTCACTAAGCGTAAATTAACTTCACTACTCAAACTACCACCAGTACATACATGACTAAGCAGATATTCGAACAGATGCTACAAAATGTTTTCAATGATGAAGTTGAAAGTTTTTCATTTTAAAGAAAATCACAAATGACTGTTATACTTATTTATGTACAACTTGTATATGATAAATAAGTCATTTTGATATATAATTCTTTCATATACATTCTACTTATATAGATACGTGTAATACGAAATGAAAATCGAGTGGGTTTAATTAAATCACGTATGAATGGTGCACGGAATGCTACTGGTGAGATACTAGTATTTCTTGATGCTCATGTTGAAACATTGGAATATTGGTTAGAACCGTTAGTTGTCCAATTGATAAGCTTAAGAAAACAACACCAACAAGAAAACCATGGACAACCAAATCTACCGAGTCAACAGGATGAGAAAAGAACTTCAAAATTACCATGTAAGATTACCATTTGATTATATCATTATACTTATTTCATAAACTATGATTTCATCACATGATACATGATTACATTTAAAATTTAACCCAAACCGATTAGTATAGAATTAATATCCCATGTGTCAAACAAATAAGGAAATTTCGAAATGACTTTGAGTGCCCAACGCTATCTTCATTCGCTTGATGTGAGGGAATGTTTGAAGTATAAGATAAGATGAGAAATTGAATATTATAGAATACTCGATAGCTTTTTTGTTTCAATTTGAGATTTCAAAACTAAAACCTCACATAGGACTTTACTAAAAATCTTCAGTTATTGGTAGTAACAAGATTCGTTTATACCAATGAGTTTGCACAAAATTGTCTACCTGGTAATCTAAATGTTCATTAATTTGAAAGTAGAGTAAATTACGGACTGACATAGTTTGGAATACCATTGAAAACCTGGGGAAATTGGATGATTATTTAATTCCAGTACTTTGATTCTTAGAATTGTGAACCTGTGAATTTCACTTGCATAAAATCTCGGACTATCAGGAATCACAGTGACTATGCTACCTGAAAATTTTTAGGTACTTATATTACTGTTCACATTTGTAACTTCAGCCTTTTTTCGATATTTTGTGACCCCTAAATGTCAGTGACGTCTGCCTTACTCTCACGTTTGTTGAGCTTTATTGATTATGCCTGCTTACCATGCATTCGTAAAAGTTTTCCCATACTAGTGAGGACAAAGTGAGACAGTATGGGATTTCAGAAGAACTGGGGATTGGTAACCTCTATTAAAATGGGATAAAATAGCCGATAAAGCATGCTGGATGAAAAAATCTTTAAAAAAAACGCTAAGAAGACCATCTCTTTAGGAACAACTGGTCTTAAATAGTAGTACGCTAACTACACAGACGTCTTCCAAACAGTATCACAAGCAAAAATAATCAAATCATTAGGACCACCTGATCGTTGAGGGAAGTTCAGTGAGAAAGTTTATCTATGATAGGTAGCCTCATAATATTGTGCTAAGAAATAGAGTTAATCATTCGTCAAACTACTTTCTACTACACTCGATTCATATATGTGTTTAAGAATGGGGAATTCGGCATTAATGTATACTGAGACACTGAAGAAATCATTAGCCATAGGTTTTTAAATATGTAAACCTAATAGGGAAAAATTGTTTAGTCAACCAGTTATACTGAGATGCAATGTAATCATAAAAGTGTACAACATTATTTCCTGTTAAAACTTTAAACGATTTCCGACTACAAAGTTCTAGATTCCACTACTAACTACCATCCATATCTGCTTATAATGCTTGTGACTTAATGGCAATATTGAGACAATCCTCATAAAATGCACATATGTTGAACGAGAATGGTCAATAATAATTGGCTGAATTCTGGGGCTAGATACAGTTCTGACGTTTAATATAGGTTTATAAAAATATCAAATTTATATTAATTGTTCACCTAATAGTTATTTTAGTCTTGGATACTGATTAGATTGAACTATTTTAAATTTGGCCATTGTTTTAAATTATTTGATGTCTCGTTATGCGTCGTCTAATGTTTAGTAACTGGGGATAATCAATATTGAGCAAAGATAGCTTGAATAGTTTTAGTTGTAATACATCAGATGTTTTAGGTCCCAATCTCAATAGGAATTCTGACTTTCTTGAGTTTATAGGCATTTCTTGCTGGCTATTATCAACCTGGACATAATCTATGTTCATGATTTTCTCCTGCTTCCCTCCAGCCTCCTACTAACATATTATGATAGATAAAACTCACATGTAAGGATGGCTAAACATATACTGAAGTAGTTGTGAAAACGAATGAGTTCCACTGGTTGAATAAGAGAGTAAGATAGATAAGTATCTTCCTTGATTGTGAAATATTTGGTTCGAGCGAGCCACATAATTAATATCGAATCATCCTTTGTATTATTATTCAAAGGCGTCCACCAACGTTTATTTAATCCTAAATCATATGAAATTCAATCATCATCCTTTGTTTAAAAACAGTATGTTCTCATATTGGACTCACTGTGGGATTATTGATTTACTATCTAGCATGGCGTTTTCTACATTGTTTTCCAATATGATCTTTCCTTCCACTTACTTTCTAGTTTATTTAGTTGAGCTACAATTAGTTTAAAAATCCTTTGTTGTGAGAGAACCAACTCACAAATATTTAAGCCACTAATAATTATGATCATAGAAATTAAATAGAAAACAGTAATAATAATTTGGGCAAGATATGCAGTCCTATGCTAGCCGGTGACAAATAATTGGTTCATACACCGTTTTTTCTCAGAATCATGAAGCTCATGTGTATTATTGGTTTGGAATCAAGGTTTTCCAACTCCCATAGGTGGATCCTCCATATCCACCGACCTGGTTAAAGCGCCGGACATTCGCTCTTCATCCTCTCAATTTCGTAAACAACATCCGTGGTGCAAGAAGGCATTGAGTAAGACTTCCATGGCAGTGGCTTTATACGCATGGCTAAGTGAAATCGTTTCGAAAGGGAGAGCTAACTCTGCTCACCCTCGTCAAAACCAGGGCATTTGGAGGTAATAATTCAAAGGCTCCGGGCGTGGCACCCTAAGAAAACCACCTGTTTCAGTCTGGGCACCACGGTAGTATCACAGCTTACACACAAATGAAGTGACTTGTGTGGTGCATATCTATTCGGTGCCTCTTCGTACTAATATTTATGTGTTTAAAAAATAAATAAATGAGAGCATGATGACAAAATCCTATTGTAAGTTTTATAATTAAATTATCAAGATTAATTTGATAAACTGTGAAGTTATCCAATACTTCATTCTGTTGATTTCTATGTTAATAAATTAAAAAAAATTGTTTTATCATTATGAGAAATTCTCATCATTATATTTACATAGTAAAAATAAATTACATTCTTGGGTTCGAATCTCACGAGGTGGGATCGTTGATGTGCACTACTGAGGAGTCCCACAATAGGATGAAACGGCTGTCCAGTGCTTACAGGTTTTAAATGATGGTCTAGCTTCAATTGAATCATGATCTCGACTATTGAAATTACTAAAATATCCACAAGAACCCCTTCTGATACTTATATTATTATTAGTTTAGAACTGAAATAAATTTGATCTATAAAGTTAAAATCTAATTTATTGTGATATATGTTGTGTGAAATTTATTAACGACAGAGTCGAGGGAACACGTTTTTTTAAGTCTTTTCGAGACATTCTAATGAATGTATACAGTAGTACAGATTAAGATGACTGAAGACAGTTGATAGGATGTCTTGAACCTAGTTTATATGCTAGTTGGAATATATCAACAAAGAGTATATGCTGTCTTAAGAGAATTGATACTCATATAGAGTTTGTAATCTATACCAACAACGATTGGTGTTGCCACTAAGGTACTCGAGTCGAAAGATATTCATATCTTCCTGATTTTAATGTACAATCTAGTGACAAGTACCAAAAAGAATGAACTAAAAAATCCAATGATTCTTGTTGAACACATTTAGTATGTAAAATTAAACAGCTTAATGATATGTGAAGCGACCTTATACAGTGGCTATATTCCGATCGTGTTTAAAAGAACTTGGTCGGAACTAGGAAATAGATAAACTGACATTGTTTATTACTTGGTGACTGCTTAGTACAGATACTCTAGTGACTATTAGATAAAAAATTTCTAGGGTTAATTTTTCTAATACTGAATACTTTGCAAATTACCCAGATATGGTTGGTGTTTTTCATTTACTAGAACAGTATAACTGTTCAATGTTCCCTCGTTTTCATCTCTAATCCAAATGATGTCAGTTTGTAATAAAAATTACTTGAAATATATGAGTATATTTACTAGTGGAGACTTTGCTACATGAATGTTTATATATTCTACAGTATCTATTCAAGAATATCTCTTTATGTTAGAAAAAACCACAAACACTACCCATACTTTACGATGACTCGGATAATTCAAGTACTATTTATGTATTATATTTATCATAAGTAATTTATGACTGAGATGACATTAACTGGAATTATAACAACCGTTAACTGATGAGCTATCATATTAGAGATAATGTAAAAGAACTGACAAGTTAATAAATGTCTTTATATGAATGTTCCAGTATTTAATCACAATTTTAATGAAAACTTATTATCTTAAATGCAGGGAATTTCAATAAATTACGGTATACAAGAACCTAGTTTATGATCAAATGTTATCAGAACCACATTACGTTATCTTTCATATAGTTACGAGGTAGTGATAATTAGTTTAACCAACTTTTCATCTATCTCTTTTAAATTAGTTATTATTCAATGACATCGAAAATTTAAGATAAGAAACAAAAAATATACCTGTATTTTCTTCACTTACATGGGTACGAAATCAGTCAGCAGGAAATCTTTGTCTTAGATTTTAGTCTGTCTAATACTACTTATTAACAAGGCATTATTTCAAAACATGTTAAATAGCTCAATGCTGACATCTTAGAGTGACAATGTGGGTGTCGTAAGGCACAATTTCACATGGGATGTCATTTCCTTCAAGATTGTAAAAAAACTCCTTCCTAGGATGGAAGAAAAGATGCATCTTGACAAGTAAGCATTTAGATTATTACATTCTTAACTGAAGATTAATCGTTGTCAGTCACAGAGTGGATTATTCAAAGCGTAGGACGTTAGTCTAAAGACAATATAGGTGTACTCAGAATAGAGGACTACAACTATGATTCTTATTGGTACATTAATTTCTAAAATGTTTTCATTCAAAATAATTATCCCTTTTTTTTTCTAGTAACGTTTAATTTTGTTTTATTATTTACATTCAATTACAGATGATGTAAGACATTTTATTGTCAGTCCACTTATCCTGTCAACAATAGACAAATCAGATTATGATAATATTGAAGATAATTTATATTTAGGAGGTTTCACATGGGATTTAATATTTCGATGGCATCATATTAATGAAAATGTTACACCATTATCAATCAAGTTTAATAAAACTGATGCATATCATTTAATTTATCCAATTAAAACACCAGCATTAGCTGGTGGTTTATTTGCTGTATGGAAAGATGATTTTTTTAATTATGGTGGATATGATGAAGAAATGAATATATGGGGTGGTGAAAATATTGAATTATCACTTAGAACATGGATGTGTCATGGACAAATTGAAATCATTCCATGTAGTCGTGTTGGTCATATATTTCATAATGAACATCCATATACATTTCCTTCGGGTAAAGAATTTACTATTCTACGTAATCATAAACGTACTGTATTAGTTTGGTTTCAACATGATACTAATTTAACATTAGCTAGAAAATATCTTTCTTATTATTATACAGTATCACCAATGTCCAAAATAATACCAGCTGGTGATTTAAAATCACGTAGAACTATTCCTAATTCATTAAATTGTCATACATTCACATGGTATTTAGAGAATATTTATCCTTTACTTAAAGAAGAAGCTAAAAATATTGAAATCAATGATGATACTTATTATTTAACTGCTTTCGATAGTTTATAACTAACAGTCTTATATAGTAATTTAATTATTAATTGTAGAGTTTTTGTTGTTGAAAAGATAATACAATGAATATATCTCAGTGGAGATCCATTCAAAAGTGAAAACTTCAATTCTTATTTCAATTAGTTTAATTATCAATAGATGTTTTTGTTTTCAGTGCGAAATTTGTTTATCTACTTTTTTTATATAACTGTATAAATAGATATTCAATATAAAGTGTATATTTTGTATGATATGGGATTCTTATTGATTTGTTTATGGGGAGGAATACTGATCAATCAATGTTAGCTTGTAGGTTGTTTTTTTCTGATGAGGCATAATTTCAATACAATACAATTGAGTGAGATAATGATGTGTTTGTACGTGAACATGATTTTACATCAACTTATCATGTATTTTTAATGGTCATCGTTGAGTTCATGAGCCGATTAAAGGTAGACCACCATAGAAAACCTGGAAGCACTGGACGGCCTTTTCATCTTAATATGGAACTTTTCACAAGTGTGTGATCCCGCTCGAAGGACTTGGACTTAGCACACTCGGTATCGTGCGTGCATGCTTAAGCTCTAAACCACTGAGCTATCATCCAATAGTGTTAATGTCTAACTTCAATCGATCCATGATCTTGTGCAACCATTTATCCGTTGATTGAAGTATATACCTGTTTCTACCCAACACGGATTGGAATCCATTTGTCATAGCTTCTCACTGGGACCCCGGAAGATATCTTTCGAAGCCAGCCACTAGTGGGCACATGATTATTATAATTATGGGGGTTTATGGGGTCCAAACGTGTCTGTTATTAGGCAGTGACTCATTGAAGACAATTATGGACGGTGGCGCAATATTGTAGATTGGCTGAAGTTGGACATTAACACTGTTGGATAACGGCTCAGTGGTCTAGAGGTTAAGCGTGTGCGCGTGATAACAAAAGTTCTGGGTCCAAGTCCCGCGTTCGGGATCACGCACTTGTGAAACGTTCCATATGAGAATGAAAAGGACATCTAGTGCTTTCAGGTTTTTCATGGTGGTCTAGCTTTAATCGGCTCATAAATTCAACTATAAATTACTACAGTCTCTACAAACTAATCTTATTTAAAGTTAACTACTAGTTTGTATCAAGTATTTTTGTAATGCGAATTCGTAACCTCTTGTGACATTTTTGTTTGTGAACCATAGAAATATCTACAAATAGTATATGGGCTTACAATTATAGAAAGTATTTTTAACTTCGGCGGTTGATTCGAGCTTGTTAAGTAGAGTATTAAGATAATGACGTTTATGTTAACAAATTAAATTGATGAACCCAGCTTTAGGCTACATATTTTAGGTTTGAATTGGTGATGCTATCCGTATGCCTTGAGTGAAATAATGGGGAAATGTATTCAATCCATCTACAGAATAGCTTAAACTTAAATGTTTAACAATGAGTTACTGTTAGCTTCATACATCACTGATCGATTTCACTTGTGATATCATTCAAAATCAGGGAGCACCGGATATTTTTTTTCGTTTCAATTTGTTACCGATTAACATTATGCATTTATATAACTACCAGGCACCTAAACAAGAACCTTCAGGTTTCACAATAAAACCTTAACAAAAAAAAATCATAGAATCAATTTGAGTTACATTGTAACAATCATCTATTTCACTGATAACAGATATTTCTTTCCCGACATGCCTGAACTCCATAAATCATGAATTAACACTAGTGATTACAGTCTTATTTAAAATATCTACTTTAAATCTCTCAGAGTATTTCTTTTTCAAATAGTAATAAACTGTGTATAACAATGTTGTGAAGGTAGAATAGTTGCATTGGTATACTTCATACTTCATAAAGTAATATAATAAACTATTATATTTCATACTCAATTCACTATTATACATTTATTTGTAGTATCTTGATGAGAAATTATTAAAGAGAAGCTAATCCTAAACGATTAGATGAAAATATCAGTATATATCTGCGAAAGTTTTAAAAATCAAATTATTTTTAGAAGTAGCAGTAGTAGTAGTAGTAACTATCATTATCAGGATTGTCTGTCGAGTTTTTTTAAGCATGTGTGAAATCTACCGGTTACATAATTGTGTTAACTTTTTCTCTGTGAAAATAAAAAGAATTGTTTCTGTGTGAATGTGTGTAGTATTTCGAGGAGGAGGAGGAGGAGGTGGTGGTGAAAATATAATATTAAAATAGAAAAAAAACAAGCACAGACGTATTTTACTTTCTAATTATATTTGTAAAGATAAGTTCGCTTACATCTAGGTTTTTTAGTATAATTTTCAACATACCGAGTTAAATCTATTCTTGGAATTTTATTTATTTGTTTGAACACATAAATATTGATACAAAGGGACAACGATTACGTATATGCGCCACATTTTTGTGAAGGCTGGAATACTCGTCGGGTTCCTACTGTGTTCAACAACACGGTTAAAGTGCCAGACATTCGCTTTTCGTCATCTGACTTTCGTAAACAACACCTCTGCTGTGAGAAGCCAGTTCGTGAGTATTCCTTGGTAGTGATTGTATACACGTGGCCATGTGGGAGAATTCGGAGGGGGATAGTGGACTCTTTATACCTTCAGCCATACCAGGGCATTTGCGGGCTGTTCTCGGATTGAGGGAATGAATGAAATTTTGAAATCTATTCCCTTCAGGAAATCAATGTAAATAAATTTAATATGTAATTGTTTAACAACTGATCTGTGATATTTGTGTATTTTGCATTTGTCTTTTGAACTCATTAACCATTGTTCTGTCTTTAATCGTTCATAAATTTCAATAATTTCATTATACACACATCTACTCAGGTTTTTACCACGAATGTCTTACTTACTTACTAACTTACTCCTGTTACTCCTCGTGGAGGAGCATAGGCCGTCCGACAGCACTCTCCATCCAACCAGATTAAACAAATATCTTTGTTATATACTACTTATTATTGATGATGATGATGAGTTTTTGTCTTATATTTTGTATTTATAATTACATAATATGAAAATTCTAAATTGTGAAGAAGAATAATACGGGAAACTTGACTCATCTTTCTGATGTTCTGGTTAGTCACTAGGGAAAAAGTGAGAATGTTTTAGAGTCTATTGATCAGTAACATATACAAAAAGTGGATTGTCAAACCGGTTTTTAATTAAATTTTGAGCGAAAGTAACAAGATAACCAACTATCTTCCGAAAAAAAGCACCAGTTTATTCGATGATTTTGCACTAGTTTTAACTAGTCAAAATTTTGTAATGAGTTAGAAAGATTATAAATACCTTAGTTAATTAATTTTATATAAATTTCCAGCTGGAGACAGTGTAGTATGGCGTCGAGTCGCGGTTGACTATGATCACCACTACAAGAAGATTGCGCACCAGAACAGGCTAAACCTTTGAGTAAACCAGAAATCAGAAGGCGATTGAAGGTTGTAGTGAGATATATTTGTTGGCGATCTCGTGGTATCGAAATAATACCAAGACCGTGCCAAAGGAGTACTAGCGGAACTACTGAGTAAAAGTAAGTTCGTGCAAAGTCACAATCAACGGAAGGAAGGATGTCTTTAGTACAGTTAAACAAACAAATACAGTAAAACAATCACTGGTACAATTGGTTATAATAATAATTGTTCCCATTAAACCAATCGCGTTCTCTTGATAAAAGTAGGTCAATACAACAAGGAATCAGATTAGTAAGACTCAATCAACACATATTACATAACGTAATTGCAATTAACGCACTATAAGGATCTCAGTGTTATTCATTTAAGGTATGTCATCTTCTGAATAGGTAGATATCTCATTGTTATACTTATGATATTTTAAACAATCACATTCAGTAAATTCTGCAGAAGCTCTTCCTTTAGGTCCTATTATAAGTACATAGAACTTCATAAATAAAACTAGAGTTGATCTTAGAGAGACAGTCATATTTTTCACTGAGTTTAGCTTTATTCCAGTGTTAATTTTTTACACTAAGACTTAAACTTAATACTCATTATTCTAAGTGTCATATTGCCGTATTCTCTCAAAGGAGTTCTATTTTAACACATAATAATCAAATGTATTCTAGAATACCTACAACAGAAATAAACAAAATCTTATCGGTAATAGAAAAAAAATTATGGATATTTTATTTGAATAAAAATAAGTAAAGTATACAAATCAATTAGAGTGTTTAACACTAACAACTGGAAGATTTAAACCATTATGAAATGATGGAAAGAGAAGTCAATTTTCGATTGAATTACTTATTATGAGTTTTGTTCAATATTGACATCCGTTTTGATTCAACGTGAGAATCATTCAGCGTAGTGTTTGATTTGTTTTCCCAGTATGATATTTTCTTCTGTATAATATACGATATTCTTGTATTCCATCGACATGAACTATACTCAGTCTGTGATTTGTTATAACTGAGTATCTGATTTAATCCTAATTATTAATCAGAATAGGTGTACAATCAATATATAAACCAGTGTATTTTAGACTATTTTTGATTCATCGTCGTCATAGTGTTTTGGGGCTGATAAATCTTCACTTATACCAGTCTTGTGTTCTTATTTTCGCATCGTGGGAATTCCCAAGGTCCCTCGTTCCGAGTATAAGTGATCAGTGTTTTCTTTTCTCCGGTACAACAATCAGCGACAACCAGATATAAAACATTATAAATTAAGTGTATACCTATTACGCAATCTAATGGTTGTTTCAACTCAATAACTCAGTAGATAATGTGCTAATTTTCACAGTAGAAGCATTTAGTTATAGTTTCTATGTGAATATCGATACTGAGATTTAACTAAATTTAACTGATCAATCCTAAACAAGACCAAATGAGCATCCTAGATCTCATCGGAAATCACAACTGAAATTTACCAAGCATTTATGCAAACTTCTATTTATACCTAACTTAATTCCTTAAAATACAACAATTTGAAATATAAAAAATGTACGTGTCTATACATTTATTAAGATACAAGGGCAATATGGTTCCATTTAATGTCAGTTCAAACTTCAATAGAAGCTTGAATAAAGATAAAGATGAACAAATAGAAATCATTACTTTATACTTCATTTCATCCCTTAGTTTTATGAATAATGTATAGTTTGACATTAAGACTATCATAAATATATATTCTCCATTTAATGTAATGGGTAGAAAGGGAGGTAAGAGGTCAGATTCTCTTTATTATTACTATTATTAATAATACAAATTAAGGTTATGAACTAT